AAAAAAAAAAAAATGAAAAAGAGTTACTGGTAGTGGCAAATTTAGCTAAGAAACGAAAACGTTTTAAAACTTAAAAGAAAAGACTAGTTTTTTTGCAGAAAATTATGTAAATGTAAATTATAAAAGAATATATCTGTTTGCAGGCAGAAGCGAGTTTGAATAAAACCTGAAGAGATGAGAGTAGAAAATGTTGTAAAACTATTAGAGACAAATCCAGGAAGAAATAGTTTGCCAGATGTAGGCGTTTTCAGGGTTGATAGAAACTCAATAAAGTAACGTCGTTTAATTGCAAAGTTTCATACAAAAAGCTGCAAAAATTAGTAAGCTTATTCGCCTTGGTGTTGGTAGAAGAGGCAAAATTAGGAACAAAATACTTACGCAAACGAAGGGAGATGTACGATAAATTAATCAAAATTTTAAAAAAGGTTTAAAAACGATAACTTACGGCATCAAGCAGAATACTGTTGTTAGAAAAATTCCCATTTCTAGACAAGAAGCAAGTATTTTTTGCAAGTAGTCAGAGAAACAAGGATGATATTTTTTAGCAACCTTGAGATGTTAAAACAGTTATAGGTCAAATTGAGGCTATTATAATACTTCAAGAAAATTTTCGTTGAGTATAGAAAAGGGAAAGTTAGAGAAAAAAGAAGTTCAGTAGAGCTTTTGCATTAAATGGTAAGAAATTGGAGGTACAGAAAGAACTTTTAGTAAACTTGCACAAGGTGAATGATCTTTGAATAATAAGACTAAATCCATTTAAGTACTTAGTGGTAAAGGTCTAGAAAAGTAAAGTAAGAAGACTTTGCATGTTTCTTACTGAATATCAATTTAAAAGTGAGTGTACCGGATATAAAGTCTTACAGCAAAGAAAAAGAATGATATGAAGATATTCGTATTATGAAGATGCAAACTAATCATCGTTTTGAAGACCGTGACATAATTAAAAAATATTACTGTTGCCAGGAAACCACATGCTGCTTTTTGCGATCAGTTTGGTAATCGGCCTCGGTTGTCCTGTCCTAGTCAGTCTTCAACATCAAATGTTGAGAGGGACATGCTGCCACTCAAAAGCAAAGGTTGAAGCAGATACCAGAATAAAGAATGAAATACTACTTGCGGTCAAAACAGTGGTTAATAGTCTAACGAAAAGAAACTTGATTTCAGATGTTTAGCAGTTAAAGTCGTTGAAGTCGTTCAAATTCAAGACTGCTTTAAAAAGTTGAAAATTAAAAGACTAACCTAGATATGAAAGTTCTTCAATTAAGAACTGTAGGCGAGAATTAGTGTACAGAACAGAATACTTTATCGAACTAGTGCTACACTAGTAGCTAAACCAATATGGCTTATCTTGAGGAATTTACTCGTACATTTCAATTAAGTTCAAAAATGTTCAAAAAAAAATTTTTACTGCAAAATAAAAAAGGAACTTAATGAAAATCTGAAGAAATGATATAGGAAACGGTCACTAAAATGAAAAAAAGAAACCTTTCTTTAACTCACAATGATCAGCTTTCCCCGATATGTGCTACAGGAAAGGAAAGAAAAAACTTCTGATTTGGCAGTTCTAAACGATGAGAAATGACTTAAAAACGCCGCTACTGTTCACTATTCGAAAAAGGAGAAGGACAACAAAAATTATCAGCTACAAACAGAGAGCTTTACAAAGTCTTCTGTGTAAAAATATTCTCTCAGATACGATTCTCTGATTCAAGTTTTGCTTCTCCTGACATTCGATGCTAGGCAAAAATATGATTTTTAGTTCGAAATATGTCACATCTGCGACAATAAGAAATAAAGATTTTAAAGCAAAAAGTGAAATGGCGATTGAAAATTTAAAGTTTGCTTAATTGACGTAGAAATCTTTAGAAAAACTGATTCACCATAAAGCAGCTTTTACGATATTATTACTTCTCGAATACCTTGCCTGTATAACTTTGTCTGCTTTATCAAACATTATTTTATTTTTCTCAGTCTTTTTTATACTTCTTAATTGGTTAAACTTTTTGCGTATTCTCTGATCAGTGCTTATCTCACTATATTTTAACTAGTACCTGAAATTTTGGATCGTAACTGACTTCTGAATCTGGTACATCGGTCATATCGGTAACAGCTTTTATCGAGGGATCATTTTTGTATACTTGTATCAATACTCGAGCCCCTAAAATATTAGTCTTATCAATGAAAAAAGTCATAAACTGAACAGTGAAAAATACCGTAGTGTATTTGCAATCAAAAAAATCAATTCTAGTTTTACTTTTCTCTTAATTGCATTAAATTTGGAACGTTTTCTAGATGTATTTGTCTTGCGTTACTACTTCTCACTTTAGTTTTATTATAACTAAGCTAAATTTTTGTTTTTTTAAGTGTGCTAATACATTAATCTTTCTTACCTTTAACAGCAATTTCATCAAAATTTCTATCATGTAGAA